TTCGACTTGAGACTATTGGCTCGTTGATCTAGAAAATCAAGCATTTAGCAATGTTGTCTGTATCTTATTGATGGTGTCGTTGTTTTGTGTGTGGTTTGGAGAAGGAAGTTGAGGAAAGAACAACCAAAGTATTAACTTAATGCTGGTAACTTTCAGAGGAAGTCTTTAAGGGGTTTATATAGTGTTTGCATCAAGTTTGGTCGTGAGTTTATGATGTATCTACAGGTTTGATCATCGTCACTGCGTCCACACAAGAAGATGTTGTTGTTGTTTTATGCGGGGATATTTCATATATGGTTTGTGTCAAAATGGGGATTTAAAACTCCAGTGTATATTAGTTAACAGAAATTGTTATCGTTTCTCACTTTACTATTTTCTACTCGTAGTGTTGCTGACATTTTGATGTGTCCCACCGCCAACCATCAACGTTCTGGAGGGTTTCTAGTTCAGTCACAGTGGTCCGTACACATCCCCAGATCACATCTTCTGTGGAGCCCTATGCTCCATCACGTGATGTTATGAACAAACAGACAAAGCCCTACCTGCCCCCACAGATGAAACATCCACACATCTCGCTCTTTTTTTTTCCATCGCTCGTTCGCCGCCGCCGCAGCAGCAGCTTCGACCAGCGCAGAAATTTTTCACCAACGTGCAAACTATCAACAAAAAGTACGTGTTTTCGGAAACTTCACAAAGAAATAGTCTGCCGTTGAGCTTAAAGTGATTATTCTTGCCACATAATGTCTTCTTTCGAAACTGCTTTGTCCTACGCTGCTTTGATTCTCGCTGATGCTGAGGTTGAGGTCTCTGCTGACAACTTGTTGGCCTTGACCAAGGCTGCCAACGTTGAGGTTGACAAGATTTACGCTGATTTGTTCTCCAAGGCTTTGGATGGTCAAGACATCAAGGCTTTGTTGACCAACTTCTCTGCTGGTGCTGCTGCTGCTCCAGTCGGTGGTGCTGCCGCTGCTGGTGGTGCTGCTGCTGAGGAGGCTGCTGCTGAAGAAGAGGAGGAAGCCAAGGAGGAGTCTGACGACGACATGGGATTCGGTTTGTTCGATTAAACACGATAACTTCCAGGTAACAGCATCTTTGACATGAGTCAAGTAATAACTTTTAAAAGGAGCTTTGGTATTCTGATATTGGGGACTTTACCAGTTTAAATGGTGTTTTTTATGGCGTTATTCGAATATGACGAATTCATTGTTCAACAACTGTGTGCTCTGTAGATGGCTTTCCATGTGTCTGGAGTATATAATAATTGTAGATTAACACACACGCTGTAAGTTCAGCACGTAAGTACAAACAGTGGTCATTATCAAAACATCCATGTTCGTATACCGGTAAATTCTAATCGCTGAACAGTTGGAAGAACCCTACCAATATCTACAGATTGAAATGATCGAAATTAAACCCCGTTTCTTCATACACAAGTTAATATCAATGTGCTTATTTCTTCTTCTCAGCTTCAGCCTCAGCCAACTCTCTAGCTCTCTTTTCTCTGATACCCTTGTACTTCTTGTCAGATCTAGCCAATCTCAAGGTTCTGAAAGCGGTTTGCTCTGGAACCTCAACAGCTCTTGGCTCAGACTCTGGAGCTGGTTGGACAACTGGGAAAGTAGCAGCAGTGGACAAGACTTGTTCAGCCTCTGGAGCCTTACCGGATCTTGGGAAGACGATCAACTTGGCCTGGTACTCCTTGAGTCTTTGCACGTTCAACTCGAAGATCTCAGTGGATCTGTTTTGACGTCTGTGGTCAACAGCAATACCAACGGTTCTGGCGTAAGCTGGGGTCAAGCCAGCAGCCTTGATCTCTCTCAAGGTGAAACCTCTACCAGCTCTAACCTTTCTGTTGTACTTGACAGTTGGGGCTCTGACAACAGGTCTGAGGGCATCCAATGGTCTTGGAGCAATGGCAGCAGCCTTAGAAGCTCTAGCTTGACGACGGGAAGCCTTCTTACCGGCTTGGTCAAGATGAACTCTAACACGCTCTTGCCAGTGCTTTCTGAAGTGGTTCTTCAAAAGTGGGAGGTTCTTGGAGATAGCTGTGTCAAAGTGTTAGTATATATGGAACTCTAAAGAAAGCGTTTCCTACCGTGCAGATGGTGAGAGTCGACTGTGATTGTCTGCAGTGCATCGTTGTCCTCCTCTGGTGCTTAATATATTCTCTTGTCGTGAGTCCCCTTACTCTAGGTAACCTCACAGGTTAACCTCTCCAGTTGTATCCCCCAAAAGCAACAACAGCTCAAAGTAACCTTCTCTTGAACACACAAGCATCCACCTCACTTGACTCTCATCAATTCACGCTCGTTACATACCCATTTTGCAATGTTATTGGTCCTTCTTCGAACTTCTTAGAAAGTGTCCTGTGTGTGTTTATGATTTGTGACCTTTTTTTTCATTGAGAGTCCTTTGTGAAATTTTGTGCTCCGCGCAGTACAAGGTGTCCGGGTGTTTGTCCATGAAAGCGTTCCTGGCTACTCCTGGTGTCCGGGTGTATATACAAGCCCGCCATACACACGCACACGCAACAAGGGAGCACCACCATCGCCACAGAGGCCTACAATACGGTAGCCGGAGGGGTCATTGCCCTGGAAAGAAGACGTAGCTGGTGTGGGTGTCTGTCTGGCCACCATTTTACCAACACCTCTGGACGTGATAGGCCGTCAATTGACTAATCTGCCACTATAACTGCTCAACATCGTAGACAAGATAGGCCTCGCTGGTGGGAGCCAAAACGCAGTCACAAACACTTCAGTATGTGATGTACGGGTGTAGTTGTTAGCGGGCGCACACCGCGAACTCGTTTTATCCCAAGCGGGCGCGCGGTTTTGTATGGTGTTTCCACCGCGAATATTACCGCATTTGGCTGGGGACGATGGTTGACCAACGCAGTTTTGTGAGTGAAAATCAAATTTGTTCAACTTTTCACAAAAAACTCTTTTGAGAAGGAGCAGTTATAACTCATCAAAGAAGAAATGTCCACTGCACAGGTTAAGAGTGTCCAAGTATGTCTATCTGAGCTGCTAAGTGCGAGGGAGAGTTCCATCTGTGACGAAGCATGGTTTATTCTGCCGTTGAGCGTGAAGGAGAAGATGTGTAGGCTGTGTTTGGTGTGAGCGGAGAGGTGTAGAGATGGTGAAGAGAGGTGTCTGGAGTGAAAACAGCGTGGATCAGAAACGCAAAACGAGGAGATGGGTCAGATTTGAGACCAGCTGGAGAAGGAGGCCATCAGAAGGTGTGGTGATGGGCAGTCCTTTCCATCCCTCATCAGACGGAATCTCCAAAGAGCACAGAGCATGATGTGAACTCGCAATCCCGCACTCCCTTCAAGGAAACAACAATACTAACAACGCCTATCTAGACCTTTGGTAAGAAGAAGTCAGCCACCGCTGTCGCCCATGTCAAGGAAGGTAAGGGTTTGATCAAGGTTAACGGTGCCCCAATCACCCTTGTTGAGCCAGAAATCTTGAGATTCAAGGTTTACGAGCCATTGATCTTGGTTGGTTTGGACAAGTTCGCCAACGTTGACATCAGAGTCCGTGTCACCGGTGGTGGTCACACCTCCCAAGTCTACGCCATCAGACAAGCCATTGCTAAGGGTTTGATTGCCTACCACCAAAAGTTCGTCGATGAACAATCCAAGAACGAGTTGAAGAAGGCCTTCGTCTCCTACGACAGAACTTTGTTGATTGCTGACTCTAGACAACCAGAGCCAAAGAAGTTTGGTGGTCGTGGTGCCAGAGCCAGATTCCAAAAATCCTACCGTTAAGGGAATATCCTTCTGTTCCCATCTGGGGGAAAGGGTGGTTTCTCTATCAAAACAACTCACAAATTTCTCATGTCCTTTTCACAAATTTCGTTTGTACACTGTTTAATATTAGGTGGTTTACGCTTTGAAACTCGTTTGTAGCTGGAATTGATAGCGTATAGTGGCTTAGGAATATATGCCCATGTTGAGCATCAAAGAGTTATAAATCACGTGTCTGTATAGTCTCCCATCACGTGAGACGGTTGGGACACGTATGTAAACAAACGCGAAAACGCGAAACTTCACCTTTACGTGCACCGGGCTGAGAAGGAGGGAAAAACCACCACCCGTTTTGTTGAACAATAAGCGGACTGGAAGCTTTCCTGGAGGCCCAATTGAGTCTGTGTGTACTTTGATCGTGTGCATAGCCTTTGCTAAGAAGCTGTACTGCTTGTGTTGATTGAACTGGCTGCCCCTTTGTTCGCGTTGGCTTGTGTGTCCCAGCTTTCCGCTGCTTGTTTACTGAACCGATGTTGTTGATGACGGATACGACGCGTGACGCTGATGAAGTACAACGGGATCCGCCGCTGGATACGGTGAAGACGGTTGACGATGTGAACCTGAGCTCCTCTGCGTCTGGTGCTGATGCTGCCGATGGAACTGATGCTGTACTAGAGGGTGCTGATAAAATGGGTGCTGTCACGAGTTCAACAACTACTGTTAATTCGAGTGGCAGTTCAGTGATGACGATATCTTCGTGTTCACAACAACAGGTACAGCATGCTGATGAACTGAATCAAAGCACTGTAACTGAGTTGCTCCAAAGAGCAAATGACATTGCAGAGAGAGATTCATTGGACCCAGACATCAAGGAGATTGTGCATAAACTTGCCAATGCACTGGGGAAATCCCGTGCTGAATCGAACCAGTACAAATTACATGCACAACTGTTGAGTTTGACCTCCAAGGACCAGGACATGAGGTACGAAGTGGAACAAGAGCTGGTGAAGAGAGAAGTTGATAGGTTGAAGACTCAGGGAGATCAGGTTGGCTATCTCATGTCGAAGGTGACGAGGCAGAAGCAACTCATCATAAAATACAAGGGCAAGATTGTTGAAAAGAATAAAGAGATCATAAGGCTGAGAAGCATACTAAGGGATAAGTCACAACTTGTAAACGGATCACCAGACAATAGCAACATGTTAGACACGCTTGGGTTACTGGCATCACAAGTGTTGACGCATGAAGAAGCATCAACCCAAGGCAAGTCTTCAGCTCACAATGGCAATGCTCGAAATCGTTGATCGTTTTAATGTGACATTTCCGATCTTGGTCATTATTGTTATTATTATTATGATTATTATTATATAGACAGCATTGTTATTCACTGTGACTTAACGTCATTCTTTCAATTCTTACACTTTCCCAAGTCAGCTTTTAAAAACGTGTGTATTCCAACCACGGAGAGGATTCAATAAATAATAAATAGGTGTAATGTATATATATACTCAATAAATATAGATATAGTGATATAAATAAGCGGAACGAGACTCCTTCAAAACCCCGATTCAGAGCTTCTTCTTGAGCTCCAAAAGCTTGTCATATTCACCAGAAAGAATCTTCTCAACAATCTCCTCATCCTTCAGCTCGGCACCTTGGCCAGCTCTCCGCTTCAACTCCTCCAGAGCCCACTGGTCAACACCGGTGTCCTCCTTAAAGAGATGGATACCCACAAGCCCAGCCAAAGCTGGTAATAACAAGTAGTAGGACAGCTTCTCCCATCCTTCCTCTTCATTCTCACGAACAAACTTCCACTGGATGTTGCCGTTCTTGTCCTCGAAAGGAACCTTATCAACAATATCTCCCTGAGCACCGTTGGAGTCAGATGGAAGGAGTCTCGCAATGTCATCGGTGTTGCTCTTGTACAGTTTCCCCTCCTTTTCGCCAATGGTAAACCATTCCCAGAACTTCAACGTACGCTGCTCGTTCAAGGCACTCAGGTGTGCCAGCTTGTGCAGTTCCAAGTCACTTGGCTGGCGTGGTGTGCCGTCTTCATTCTGGTACAAGCGGTTGGCCGGTGGTAAAGAGTCAATCAAATAGCGCAGGTCCTCTTCAATTCGAGCACGGAACGCCATGCTTGGACGAGTGGTGTGGATCAAACGACATGGTGCCACACGTCTGAGAGTACAAGAACCGGATCTCAGCATCTTTCTAATCACTTTTGCTTGTTGTTGTGATTGCAAACATCAACAGAAAAGTATCAAAACCGTTCAATTTTATGCTTTCCCCCCCTGAGAGGGAGCCGGGAGGGAGAGAGAGAGAGAAAAAAAAAAGGTAAACATCCGGACATCTAGAGGCCGGGTAACAACTTGGTATTCTTGGGCGGTAAACATAATATAACTATAACATAATAATTATGGTATAATCGGGTTATAATATATAATAGTTATAATTATAACTCGGTATAACTTTTCATATATAAAACATTTTGTATCGAATCCTCTTGTTCCTTTCCAAGGGAGTTGGGCTTCTCTCTAGTGCACGAGGTTATCCACACTCAAGTGTTCATGTAAGTCGATGGATCAACACCTCCTTCTGGGAACTCTGTGATCTTAACGTCGAATCTCTCTTGGATCTTGCCCAACACTTCTTCATCAGCTTCAGATGAAACGAACGAAACAGCCAAACCCTTGGTACCGAATCTACCAGCTCTACCAACTCTGTGCAAGTATTGGTCCGCCTCTGTTGGCAAATCGTAGTTGATGGCAAGGTTGATTCTTTCGATATCGATACCTCTACCAAAGACATCCGTGGCAACACAGATTCTCTTGTTGAAATCCTTGAAGGATTTGTATCTGGCAATACGCTCGTCTTGACTCAAAGCAGAGTGGACTGCGATTGCTGGGAAGTTGGCAGCGTTCAGGATCTTGCTCAACTCATCGGCACGACGAGTGGACTTGACAAAGATGATAACTTGGTTGAACTCCAAGGAATCCAGCAATTCGGCCAACTTACGGTTCTTCTCCTTCTCAGCCAACTTGATGTAGTACTGTTGCAAACCGTGCAGAGTCAACTTGGCCTCATCGTCAACGTAAATCTCCAATGGGTTTTGCAAAAACTTCTTACAGATTGGTCTAATCTCCGGTGACAACGTTGCAGAGAAGAACATAACTTGCTTCTCATGTGGTGTGGCTCTAAAGATCTCTTGGACGTCTCTTCTCATATCCAAGGTCTCCAGAACTTTATCACACTCATCAATGACAAAGTTCTTCACATGGTTGAGACGGATATACTTGTCTCTAATCAAGGCTTGCAAACGACCAGGTGTTGCAACGACAATGTGTGGTGTAGTATCCTTGTTTTTCAAGATCTCAGCATCCTTCTTGATGTCAGTACCACCATAGAACACCGCGGTCTTGACGTCTGGCATGTACTTTGAGAATCTTTGATACTCATTACGGATTTGGTAAGCTAATTCTCTGGTATGACAAACCACAACAGTAGAGATCTCACCTGGAACTGGATCCAACTGCTGCAAAGTGGACAAGACGAAAACCGCAGTCTTACCTAAACCAGACTTGGCCTGGCATAAGACATCGGTACCATGGATGGATTGTGGAATACAAACTTGTTGAACTGTTCAGTGGGACTTGTGTTAATAGATGACTTCAAATGATTCGGTTTGTATAGTGTTGTTGTTCTCCCGCCATTGCTCTCTGGGATTCAAACGCACTTTGTTCGTTGTCCAGTTTCCTTTGTCCTTTTCTCATTCCCGTGTACTGTGTCTCCTCGTCTGTACTTCGTGAAGTATAACTGACATTTGGGTGGAGGGGACCTATTGGCATATCACCCGGAGGACGACAGCGCGGGCAACAAATAACCACATCAAAACCGCACAGTGCAAGCATCTGCAAGCACTGGTAAACGCCATTGAAGAAAGCTTCAAAACAACGTGAACAATCCTCAACCGCCCCACCCCCTCAACCAAACAAAGGGGTCAAAGGGTGTTAACACCCAAAGAGGTGGCAAGAAAACAACAAAACATAACCAGAAAGAATAAAACAATAAAACAAAAAAACACTAACCTTCAGATGGATGTTCGAAACCACAATCAACGATTGCTCTCATGAGCTCCGGCTTGAGAAGGAAATCCTTGAAACCGGTGGAATGGATACCAACATACGACCCCTTCTTATCATCCTCCTTGGCCTCGGTGGTTGGAGCAATGTTATCCTCTGGCTCGGAGTACTCCAATAATTCTTCTTCTCCTTCGTGTGACATCGTTCGTCTCTTTGATTCACGGGGTATGGAACAGCTAAAAGTAGAGATTTCCTTCACAGCGGTTAAGCGCCTCGTTGATGTTGTTGATGATGTTGTTGTTGTTGTTGATGTTTACGAATTTCTCCTTTTTTTGTGGCTGGCGTTAAAACTTCATTCGTGTCAACAAACTTTTTCCTCACGTTCTTACTTGTGCTAGTTTTTACGCTGCCCGTGCTGTTAATTACGCGGGGCGATATACGCTACAGTGGAGGCATCTATAACATCAGCGGTGATGATGGTGGAGCGTATGAGGAAAGAGGGTTGAAATAGATAGAGACCATGGCTCACGAAGACGTGTGTGTGCCGTGAGTGTATTCTAAGCTGAGTGGCTGTTAGGGTAGGTGACTACTTAAATATAGGCCGTGGCGCTGTTTTATAAGCACTGTGGAGCGTTCGAAGCCAAACACCTACCCATAACATATGAAGCAGAGCAGAAGAGAAGGCATTGTCTTTGAAAACAATGCGGGTGTGAGAAGGGAAGGAAGAGCATGAGAGCAGAGGGGAAGAGGACCGCCGGTCCCGTAGAAATCTCAATATATCAACAGCAATACAATGGCTGCGGCTCCCAGTATTGAAATGGGCCGTATGACAACACCACCTTCGTAAACAGACTGCATGGTGGTGTCTCCAACAACAACCTGGATGATCTCATAGATGGTTGAAGTGGTGGTTACCTCCTCTACAGTATCTGTGACAACCCTGGTCACAGGTGCCTCAGAGCTGGTTGTGATGGTAAGAGCTGTGGTGGTGGTCAAATCGTCCCCAGCTCCCTGGGTCTTAACAACAGTGGTAGTGACGATGCTCTGGGCTCAACAAACAGTTGTTGTTCATCATCACCAACAGTAGTTAGGACAACAGCAACTTCTTCGCTGGAGGTCTTTGTAGCTGTTGAAGTCTCGGGACAAGAAGTGGTGTAAGACATCACAGCACCAGAAATGGTCTCTGTAGGAACAGTACCAGTGGTTTGTTCG